GTGTGTGTGTGTGTGTGTGTGTGTGTGTGTGTGTGTGTGTGTGTGTGTGTGTATCAAGGCTACAGATTTCCTGTTGATGCCAAGCTGTCAGAAATGCCTCCAGCTAGGGTCAGAGGTCAAAGGATGTGTGTCTCTGTCACTTCCCCTCTCTTAACACCAATGTGCGATGCCCCTTTGCAAAACACAGGACATACAAATCCTGTGTGACGCTCATGCTGAAAGATATCCCTTTTTATGCTACTGCTCATTAATTATGTATCAAAAAAACCTTTTATAGCGCAGGATTAAGAGAGATAAAAGCTGAATACTCTCAAGACAGACCCCTCTATGTGCTCTAAAGTTATCTTTTCTGTGGCTTGGCCATTCACCACACATATTATGATGTGCCCAAATAACTGGATGTGACCTGTGGTGATAACAGTGAACCAACAGGGTGTGAGGGTTCTGGAGTCATCAGACAGTTTAGGAAGGTTATGCGAATGATGCATGTTTATCTATCAGATTGAAGCTGTTTATATGCTTCTGTCTCACATGCACCAGTGTTCGACTCCAGTGTCAAACATTACCCCTTTACCCCTGGAAGCATTCCTTCTGAGGAAGTGCACCACTATGAGAGCACAAGTCCCTTATTTGTTTTTAGAAAGCCAGCGATGCAAACGCCTGCCACTTGTGAGCACTGTATATCCTTAGAGAAGCACAAGTAGGTTCCGTCATGCACACGCTCAAACAGAAATGCATCTCTCTCACACATACGTACACACTAAATCATCTGGGTGGGTGTTGTAAATGTCTGAAGCAGGATGCTGTTTCTAGAAGGAAACCATGTTTAGATCAACCCTGTATGTGTGTATGTGTGTGTGCATGCAATGATTAGTTATGTAACAGGAGCCAAAACCATAGGTAGCCATTTTGGGGTAAAATGTAGTTCATTTAAAATAAGAATTATAGCAAAAATAATGTTAACTTAAATCAATGAAGAAACAATCACATGTTGAGGTTGCAACACCTTACAAAGTATAAAGTATTGGCTAGATGGTAAAAATAGACAGCTCGTTTGTAGTAGTAAAAACGCCAGAAGTAGTGAACAATTGAAATTTTGGGGCATAATTAGTGCATAAATATATCCAGCTAAGTATAAAATAGCTTAAAGTAATCGACAACCTGCTCCTAGCTAGATTGGTGAAATATTAGCTAAAAGCAATGGTTTAGTTGGCAGGCAAAAGCTAATTAAGCTCATTAAGCTAAGTTACCTCATTGCAAAAGGTAAAAGGTTAAATACCAGTAACAGAAAGGTTAAGAAAATGTTAGCTAAAAGTAGCTTTTATTTAGCTAAAAGAGAGAGAGGTTAAATCCTAGCTAAAAGTAAAAAGTAAATTACTGATGGTGTTCAAATAAATGCTAAAAGAAGACAAATGGTAAAAAGAGCAACATTTTTTAAACTAAAATGAAAAGATAAGTGAAAAGTTTAAACGGTTCAAATCATATAATAATTTGTTAAATAAATAGTTTACTAGCTAGCTAAAATTAGGCCTAAACAATAGGTGAAATATAGTTCCTTTAAGGTAAGAAATGATAGAAAGACAAGCTAAAAATATTGTGTAAAATAATGATTAAATAGTTTAAATATAAGTGGTGTATAAATCATAGTGAAAGTAGATAATTTGATGAAGCATCTCTGAATTCTGTCACTCCAAGTAATATCCTACAAGTGGAAACTTTGACCTGAATGGAAAAACAAAGAACAATTTCTGTCTTTTTAAATTAATGGCATTAAATAGTCTAACGTGTAAAATCTGCTTAAAATAGCAGGTTCAAGACAAGAGATAGGGCATTTCTGACTGAGGCAAAAAATGTTAAAAACCACTGATCTAGACTTTTATTAGCTAGACTTATGCATGGTTTATTTTACTGAAGATACAAATTGGTTTACCACTCGCTACGAGAGCACATATTTTTTATCTTACTAAAGACACATACTCACATGCACTTGTAAAACAAAAGACACATATCCTCTGTAAGTGGCATCCATCTTGAGTCAGGCTACGTACTATATCCTTCCCGTGAATTCAGCCAGAGAGGCAACATCCTCTGGCTGCATGAGAGGAAGCTCGCCTCACTGTGACTCTCCGCTCTGCAACAGGTAACACCCCAACCTCAAATCTCTGTGCCAATGCTTGTAAACTACTATCACTACTGTATGTCTACTGATCCTCGTGCCATGAAATAACATTTCTCTATCAGGTAAGGGCTCCCACTGAAAGATACTGCATGTGGTTTCTTTTCATTTCAGAGAGAGATTTGTGATCTTGCATGCATTTCAAATGAACCTACTATCTCTGATAGTTGCATTTTAACTTCTCTTGGGATGATCTTCTACGCACGTTCTCTTTCTGCTCAATCTTAGGAGTTGCAATTCTTTGGGGAGGAACAAGAAACACACACAAAAACAGGATAACTTTAACAGAAGCTAAAGGAATTAAGAAAAAAATGATGGAACTGAAGATCCAGCTGATCCCGACAGGGGAAATCATCCTTTCTCCAGGGAAGAATGGAGAAAACCACTGCCACAACTGCAAGGTCAGTTTGCATACACACTGTGACCATGGCTGAGGCCAGCTCTGGAGTCAGATTTTTCCACTCATCTTTCATTCCAGAGGTTTTATGCGGCTCAGTGGGTAGACATAGGTGCTGACACAGCTAAGGTTATAGGGTTCATCTCCCACAGGGTTGACATTGAGAAACTTTTACATAATTTAAGAACTGTAAATTGCTTCAGAATTTGCTGTCTGTGGTGATAAATCAAATGATCTGTGGTTAGTAAATGCATTTAAATCTTGCTTGGCCCTGAGCAGCGCTCTCCGAATTATAAAACGCATTACTCAGAGGTAATTATGCATTTCAAACCAGGCTGCCTCTGTAATTTCTGGACACATTAGAGACATCTGTACTGTGTTACAGAACAAGACTCATGATGCTAAGTGTTAATTAGAGTGAATAAGAACCCTCTTTAAAGAAGTCACGGTGCTTTAAGTAGCAATTTGACATTCATAGTGTCTTCCCTAAAACGTTCTTTGGTGATACAAAGGGCATTTTTGGATATTTTCAGTAAATACCAGCACAGTTATAATATTGTAGGAATGTGCAACATTGAGTGTAAAAGGTTTAGTGTCAGCCCTCACATAATTAATTATAGAGAGGATGTTGTGAGTCAAGTAACTTCACTGCATATGATGCATTTGAAAGCTGCTACAGTCAATGTTTATATGCTAACAGTAAATTGATTATAGAGCGGCTTATAGAGAATTTTCACCAGACTCCCAGTTCCCTTCAGCTCTGCACAGAATTCTTACCCTGTTTTGGTTTGAAGGCCAAATGTTTAATGTTCTCCCGTTGTGCTGCTCAAAAAGTCCAAAAGCAAAGTTACCAACTAGCTGGTGAGCACAGGCAGGTATTTCCAAGTAAATCTGGGTGAGCACCCACAGCAGGGCTAAAACAAAGGCAAATATTGAACTTGTTTTTATCAGGTGGTACAAAACCATCCCCAACTTAATAATGACACTGGGTCATATCGTAGTATCTGGAGGAAGTGGAAATAAAGGCGCTTGGCTCTTTTAAAGGGACAGTACCTAACCACTGGTACAGATATGTTGATGACACCTGGGTCAAAACCAAAACCCAAGAAGTAGAATCCTTCACTGCTCACATCAACTCTGTGGATAAAAACATAAAGTTCACCAGGGGAGACACAAAAGATAACAGTTTGCCATTCCTGGGCTGTGCCGTGCGCATCAAAGAGAATGCGAACCTCAACTAGTTTTAGCGGAAGCCCACACACATGGACCAGTACCTCCTCTTTGACTCCCACCACCATCTGGAACACAAACTTGGATTAATCAGGATCCTGCAACACTGGGCAGAAAATGTTCCCTCTTAGCCCAAAGGAAAAAAGAGAGAACACACACATGTAAAGGAAGCTCTTAAAACATGTTGTTATCCTAATTGGGCTTTCATCAAGTCAGCAAAGATGCACAGAAAAGAAGATCAGACACAAACTAGGGAAGATCAGAAAGACAAACGCAACAACACTGTCATCCCCTATGTAGCCGGTTTATCAAAAAACTCAGGAGAGTCTTCTCCTACACGTCTTCAAGAAACTCAAAGAAGTCCAGACGCTTTTCTTTCCAGGCTTCTTAGACTACGATAAAATGAATGACTGAGAATCTTCAAAGTACAAATAAAATAAAGTACAGTAATGTAAAAAACAAACAAACATATATATATATACAATCTGAACTAAGGCATAAAATGAAATATCCTGTCTTCTTGGAAAGCTTTCTTACATTAGTAGGAAACAAAAAAGAGTTTTTACAATATCATATCCCCTGGATGAGGTAGATTTGGTGTGTCTGTGTATATGTGTTCATGTGTAAGTGTTTTTGTGCATGTCTGTGCGTTTAAGTGTGCCTGAAAGCCTTTAAAGGACCATACGACTGGAAAGCGAGTGTATCAGCATTCTCTCAGATTTGGCCTGTGCTTTGATGCAACGTTTCCTGTTGTAGAAAACGGAAGTTATGATGGTGTAGATGTTAATAATGTCAATAATTAATGTTAATAATAACTCAGCGTCCAGCCTAACAGCTCCAGGTCAGTGGCTCTGAGTTTTACTGGCCCATGTATATTTTTACTGGTCTGCGTAAAGAGAAAATTCTTATTTATCTTAAGTATTAAATATTAATATTAGTACACCCCATGCCCCCCTTTAGACTCACCCCTGCTTGGTGTAAGTATTACAAATAGAAAAATAGGATGGCTGCCATCAGCCTTCAGCAAGCTGTCTAATTTAAATCTCACATCGGAATAATTTAACAGTTCATCTTGTTTTTTTATAATCAATTTATCCAAGTTAATCGGCGAATCTTTGTAGCTTTACTAGCAAGCCTAGTTAAAAATTGGTGCTAAATAACGAAGGAAGAATTTCAATCTCCAAAACTGAAGCAGAAACAGAAATTGTCTGTGCCGTAAAACAGGCCATAATGTTAGTCGGATAATCCTCTAGAACAAACAAGAAAGAGGTCCAGTTCAGTGCCTTTAATTAGCAGAGAGGAGGCCAAGTAGACACAGATGTCGAGCAAAGCTTCTGTGCTCCTATGTTTAAGACTTATCGGTTTCCAAATGGAAGGAAGCGGAAAACTATCTATAGAGAGCAAAAACCTTTTTGTATTAGGGTGTAAACATGCCTTTAATGGTTTAAAGTTTGGCATTTAAAATGGGAGTCTATTCCTCGCTTTTGAAGCCTGTCTCAAGTGGCCATTAAAGGAACCGCAGTTTTTGGCAGTAGCCATAGCTTTACATGTAGGTGAGTACACACAGACTCTGAAATAGAGTCTGTGTGTACTCTATAGAGTCTGAAATAGACTCTATATGATGTGACTAACACATTTCATTTACATTTCAGCAGTTCATACTGTATGTGCTAAGCTCATATGTAATATCTAAATATAGTTGTCTACAGATTGAATGGAATTAGCTTTTTTTTAAAGCAGTCCCTTTATGGGATAAGGTATCTTTTGGTAAAGTGTAACCACTGGCAGACACAGGTTTCAGATTTCTAGAAAGAGAATTGTGGTGTGGTTAATGCAGCCTGCTGCGTGCTGGTTAGTAATGACTGGGGAGGACTGGAATGTACCGTAGCCTGGATGGGAGGAAACGACAAAGACATTCCAGTACATGGCTTCATTCGTTCCCCTTCCCACATTCCTTAAAGGTCAACTCACCCTGCGTCTGGGTACATGTGAAAAGTGTGCATTCCCTGACCTATAATGTGCCTGTCTTTCGACATCAAAAATCGACACCTACAATCACAGCACAGCACAGCAAAACTCAATTAGTCTGACGGTAAATTAATTCAGCATGAACAACTATGTACTGACTTTACTGATGAAGTGTGCAAAATATTCAGAACATTTATACAGTTCAGACTTTCCACAGATAATGCTTTTCCCCCTTTCTGAAAGTCTGGCAGCTGGTCAGTGAATGCTGGGATCACACTGAGTTTGTAGGCTAATGTAGGACCTTTTTGCTGCATTACAGTAGATAAGTCAAGTAAACCTTTTTGGTTTTTGTTAAGTGAAATCAGAACGATGTGGTGTTAACTGATCCTGGGAGAAAAGGAAAGATCAAGTGTGCTGCTGTTTGTTGATTTTGGAAGGTAAGTGAAGAGGAGACAGGGCTGGGCCTGAAGGTAAGGGGCCAGTGTCATGACCAGCTCTTCTGCCCATCTACTCAACGCCAACAGGATACAACGTGCGTGTGTGTGTGTGTGTCATTAGTAGCGGGTTGTTTGAGGCTGAATCGATCACCCCCCCCTCTGGCAGTGAAGTCACATTACAACTGAGACTGAGGTCACCTTCACATGAGCACAGTGCATAACTGCAGTAATATCTGATACAAAGTCCAGTGCAGGGGATTCAGACCTGGAATGTTTAATTTATTAGAGAAACAGAGTACAGTTAGAGTTTATCATCTAGGCTCTGAGCTCATCACTGACTGCACTTGTGACACACATAAAAAATGGGGAGTATTATGCTATCAGAGCCTACAGGTGTATGGTGGGATGGTGCAGTTTTACTAGCAAGCCTAGTTAGGGGTTCACAGAGCAGGCAGCAATGGAGGGCAGCAGTAGCACTGGCAGGTCAGAGAGAGATGGAAAGTTTTGGTGCTTAAATGTACAGCCAAACTGCAAGGGTTCAGCTGTATGAACATGTTTAACTGTCAAGTTTTCCCAATGAATATTCCATCCATCCATCCATCCATTCGCTTCCGCTTATCCTTTTCAGGGTCGCGGGGGGCGCTGGAGCCTATCCCAGCTGTCATAGGGCGAGAGGCGGGGTACACCCTGGACAGGTCGCCAGTCTGTCGCAGGGCCAACACACAGGGACAGACAACCATTCGCACTCACATTCACACCTAGTGACAATTTGGATTTTCCAATTAACCTATCCCCACAAGCTGCATGTCTTTGGACGGTGGGAGGAAGCCAGAGTACCCGGAGGGAACCCACGCAAACACGGGGAGAACATGCAAACTCCACACAGAAAGACCCCGGCCTGATGTTGGAATTGAACTCAGGACCTTCTTGCTGTGCGGCAACAGTGCTAACCACCGTGCCACCGTGCTGCCGCCAATGAATATTCTTCAATGAAAATCTTAAAGGGTATGATTATACTCACATCTAACCAATAATGTTCATTATTGGTCTCCTCTAGAGTATTGGCAGGCGAAAACAACCCTTATTTATCTTATACTTAGTGCAGGAGCTTCATTTATGTTGTCTTTTTCTTATAAATGATTCAAATATTAAAAAATTGAGTCTGTCTTACCCTTGCATAATCAGCTAACTTTTTTTAATAACTAAAAGGCATGAAAATGTGTTTTTATCTTATATCATTATCTGAGTTACAGGCCCTCACAGGGGTGGATGAACATTTAGCACTCTTTGGTTTGCATCAGATTTTCTAGAATTTCTGAGCCTCATAACTTTGTATTGCATGCACAGGAAAAAGCTTCAGTCTTTTCATGTTTATCAGGACTAGGGGAAGAGAGAACGCATGAGTGAAACAAGATATGACAGCTGTGTCACGTCTGGACGATGCTCAATAAGGACAGTTATAAAAAAAAACCCATAAAAAGTGCAAATGAAATATTTTCAAATATACATCATGACACTGACTTTCACTCATTCATAAGTACAATAATTAAAAAAAAATCATACTTTTTTTAAAACTCCCAGTAAACCTTTTATTCATTCTCTCCTACTCTCAGTGTTGTATCTTAAAACTTCAACAACCTTTCAGTTATTGTAAATGAAAATTTTAGCAGCAAGGGTGGAAATTTCTAGTTCTTTTTTGTGGATTTCTTTCTTACCTGAAAAAAACTTGGGACGATATGTAAAGTAAAAACAGAATGCAATGGTTTTAGAAACTCAGAAATCCATATTTTATTCACAAGGGAACATAGAAAACATGCCAAATGTTTGAACTGAGAGATTTGACTGTTTCATGGGAAATATTAGCTTATTTAGACTTTGATGGCAGCAGTACATCTCAAAAAGCTGAGACAGGTGGCAAGAAAAAGTAACTGGTAAGAACATGTGCTATTTAAGTATAGGGACACATCGGGGACCCTGAAACACAGTATTAACATAGTATCTCTTACTGTATTTTTAATCAAAAACCTTAAACATAATGGATAACCAATAGGTTAATTTTAGTTATGTTATTTTTAGACTCATAAATCATCAGTAGAAACACAGCTGGGAAAATATAACTTCCGAATTGGTGAAATATGAAAACCATTTGGGGTTGTTTCATTTATGAACTGCTCATAAAAAATAAGTGCTTAAAAGCTGGATCCAACTAACACGGAACTTGTTTTGGAGGAAGAGGCAGCAGACTTTAGAGTCTCCTGTCACGAGGTAGAGCTGTGAGTGATGGCGTGCAGGTGCAGTGACGCCTGTTTGGACAGCAGAGGGTACGAGAACCCCGTGAAAACGACGAGAGCCGCTCAATGGAACCGCTGAGCTGCAGTTTGCCGCTGAATGGCCGGCTGGAATGGCACTGGTTAGCGGTTCCTCCAGACTCAAATATCTAGCATTTTCACGTCTACTTTTATGTCTGCGCGAATTTGTTTTCTACCCCACCCGTTAGAGGTGCCGATGGATGAACTTTTAACCCGCTCAGAGCTCAGATGGGTGGACAGCAATAAATGGCTATGAGTGTAGTTTGCGATCTCCCAGAGAGTTTGGCTTTAAAGTGAAGGGATCTGGTTATGATCTTCTAATTCACGAAAGCTGTCTGTGTATCATTCCTCATTTAAACCTTTAGTCTCTGTCAGCTCACCTAGCACGCTGCCATTTATCAGGCTAGTAAAAGCAGACATTGTTTTGTTTTTTTAATTTCTAATGTCCCAGAGACAAGAAAATAACAAAACCGCCTGAAGAGTATTAGCAGGCAAATCATAGTGCACGACCTGTCCGAAAGAAACTCATGACTCCTACGGGAGCTGTAGCAGGGTTGGTTTTTGGTTAACTTCCTGGTATTACGCGGCTGTGCTGTCCTTTGATGACAGAAAAATAAAGGAGAAATTACCACACCACTCCCATAGAGTTTAACCCCCGACAACTACGACACACTGGCAGTTTGTTTCATACTAGCATATCAGTTCACGAAGCATAGTGTAACTGATACCTGCAGTCCAGGAGAAGCCTCCGCGCTGAGGCAGAGCCCACGGTTGGAGAACTGGGAGTGGTGGTGGGAGGGTCAGGAGAAACCCGGCACACAGTACGTTACCTACTGACTAACAGTGACCAGTCAGTAAGTGGGCTGACTGACACGGCGGTGAGACACAACTCCAAAACCTCGAGCGGTGGAAGTGAGTGAAAGAAAAGCGGCATAGCGCGTTTGACCTCGGCTGTTGTAAGGTAAGCTTTCATCCAGTTTAAACACAGATTTTAAGCTAGGTGCCTCCCGCGCGCTCCTCGGCAGTTGCCCCACTGTGCTAACTGTTAACTTTGGCTCTTTCCAACCTCACGGCTGCTGTACTGGTTACAGCTGTGATACCGGCCAGTCTCTGCTCAGTAATTCGTGACAGTGCAGCATGTTTGAGTGAGTGGGCTGAAAGTCCCCGTGTGCACCATATGGAGAGAAGCTTTTCACCAAAACGCCATTGTAAAAATAATAATAATAATAATAATGTGGGGTTTGAACGCGACACAGCCTGTTTGTGACTCATTTTACTCAGTTAAACCATACATCAAGACTCGTAATACAGCAGCAGGAGTCGTATTAGTACAGTGTGGTTAAAGCGGTTAAACTCTGTTATCTACCGCTGCTTCATTGTCTGTCATAAGTAATATATTAAATTGTGATGCATTTCAGCTAACCTAGCTAAGTGCTTAAGTTCAAAGTTTAAACATGCCCTGCTGGTGTGTTGCATATATACCGGTTTAAAGAATCAACATTACATGTGATTATTTTAAGTGTCTATGAAATCCAATACGAGACCCTTTTTTTGTTTGAATGAAGTTTGGTCTGGCATTCTCTCCTCCTTCATGCGTACACTTGTGTAGGCTTGTATTTTCTCGGAGCTGGCTCACTGGCGTTCATTGAAAAGCAGTGCTGTGGACTTTTAGCCACGTAGTGATTTGGCCTATAGCCCACAAAATCAAATCCTTCAGGTTGGGGTTGTCTTTTTATAGACGCGAGACAGACACAGATTAAGACAGCAACTACACGGCTCACGTCACAGGCTAGCACACCTGATGCAAGCAGAAGGTGCTGCGGTGTTAATCATTTTAAATGAACCATCTCTTAATGGAGCTTTAAGAGACCCTGTGTATGTGTCAGAAGACGCTGGACTTGTGCTGCGAGAGAGTGTCAGCAATTGAGGAAGGGCTTGGTCCACAAACCTGTCCACCTGTTAACCTGTGTGTGGTTTGGAAGAGGTAAACATAATGCAAACAGCTGGCATGTAATGCAGCCCACAGGTGCTGATGGCTGTCACGGGATGAGAAATCTGACCAAAAATACTGAGGCAGTGTTATAAAACCATTATGCTGTTTTTATCTTTGAGGAAATTGTGTTTTGGCATCTGATCTGCTGAGCTTCATCTTGATTATAAGAGAAGTTGATTACCCACCCAGCAGAAAGGGAAACGCAAAATAGCCTGTGCTGTTAGTTAAATAAATGCATGTGTAGACAGAAACCAGAAGATAGAAGTTCAGACAAGTGAGCCAGAATGGGCGGGATAGTCCTCCATGGGTCAAGCTGCAGCAAGACCAGCTGACCAGTTCCTTCAAGGTCACCTGAAGGGGAGGGCCTCCCTGTGCTGACTAGCATGCTGCAGCTGCTCCTCAGCGCCTGTTAAAGTGCTCTAAGTTTGATACAAGCTCCTTTTTTAAATGGCAGCTTGTAACTGGAGACGATTAGCCCTGAAGCAGGGTTGTACTGATCTGCAGGGTGGTCTAATTTGGGTAGCTCTTTAAAGAAAGTGCACATGGTGGAATTTTCAGCGTGCACAGTCTGCACAATTGTTCTACTTGGCACAAAATGCACATCAGCGTGCTGCAGTCAATACATTTTTCCAAAGCAGTTCCACCAGTTGTATACTCTGTGGTCAGTCACGTTTAGCTGCAGTTTCCATTGGGCTGATGTGGGCAGAGGCTTGAAGGCAGTTCTTCCCTTAGTGCTGTACTGCCGGCTTTATTTTATTTTAATGGGCTGGGCTTTCGGAGATATTTTGGTTCATGGCTGAGGCCGAGTTGTGGTGAGAGTGAAGTTTGGTAGTTTAGGGTGAGGTTGGGCTCTTCACTGGATGTATTCCTACTTTTGCATGGCTGGGTGTTTTCACTTTCCCACTTTAAGCACAAACACAATGCAAGGGTTTGTGAAATGGGTGCGTGTGTTTTTTAGATTATTAAGATAACGTTATGAGCTCAGTTTTTTTTCCCACACTCTCAGTTTTAATTTCACATCTAATTCTTACATGGATTCACATGAGAGGAAAAAGTTTACTGGTCCTGGCTTGTTCTTTGCCTGTTTATCTGATCAAATACTAGTCATGCTTCCCTCCACATTGTTATGGAAGTTAGTAGATTCCTTCATGCCAGATTTCTGCTGCCAGTTTCTGCAGTGCATTGCAGTGAGACCAGATGGGTTAGGGGATTGCCTGGAGCTGAATAAATATTGAATAAAAAAAGAACACTGGGCGACTCCCACTTTGAGCATTTTGTTTTGGCGGATACAGGACCTGCTGTTGATGGGGTGAAGGTCTTCCCTGGCCTGTAGTTGCTCAGCTGCATGTCAGGTGGACTGCAAAGGGCACACCTGACAGCCTGGCTCTTAGCCAGATCACTACCATCCGCTACACAACAGGAAGAGAGAGGAACGCTTGCATGTGTGAATGTGTGATGTGTGTTGATACACGCTAATGTACTTAAACTTTGCAATAGGAAATACTCACTGGGGGGGAGACGGAGAGGAATTTCCCTTCATTAACCTCATAATGTCAACTTGTCCTGTCAGACTTGTTGATGTCAGCAAATGGGATGTGTGTTAAAGTTACGCTTGTCATGGTAAAGGGAGTGTAAACTTGAATGAGAGAAATGTACAAAACATTGGGTTTGTGGGCGGGAATACTGTCAGGGCCCATGCACAAGTAATGCCTCCTAGGTGACTAAGCTGCCTGCATGTAATGAGGTTTGGGTTAAGTAAAAAAAAAATTAAATTAAATTAACTGCCATTTTTGTACTGAAGAAATTATTAGTTGAACTGTTGACTGTATATAAAAGATGGATGTAGAAACAGTGGCATCTCCCATTGTTTTCTAGACTCTGCCCTTTGAAGCCTCAGTTAGCTGGCACGTTATTTATTTCTCAACTATAAGTGACCATGTTTGCACAGGAGGGTGGAGTGCTTAGTTAACAACTAACGCTAGTGAGCTTGGTTGGTAAGCTGCGTCCATGAACAAATGCGATGTACTGACACATGATAATGATTAAAGTTAATACTGCAGTTTAAAAAAACAAAAACAAAACTGAAGCAGAAACTTCATGCATGGGCTTTTCACATACAGCATACCTAATATTTGTTAAATAATTTCATTAAAGATGCCAACACAGTCAAGAGACTCGATACTAATGGAAGTGAGCTCTAGTAGACGTTGGCTGTGTTGGTCATAGTATTAAACTAACTTTGGAAAAAAAAAATTGGGTTGGGGACCGCTGGTTTAGATGACGACTACCACTTGTTTGCATGTGGGAAATGAAATCAGACCTTGAAATGGGAAGGTGTTGGAGATGCTGGAGGGGAGCGACTATTGATCTACCCTTGGGCAGACAGACTGTTGGAGACAGAGAGCACAATAACAGATTAACAACAGCCATGTGGGCTGGTACAATCCATTTCTATGGTTGTAGACTTTCTACATGCATAATAAACTTTTTTGTTTCTCATCTCACCACGACTGATTTCTGGATAAGCAATCTGTGAACAACTAGCAATGACTTTGTGCTTGTTTTTTAAAGGTTCAGATTTCAAAGATTTGAAATAACAGAATTGCTGTAAAAGCTGAAGTGACTGATTGATAGATTTATTTTTTGTTAAACTTTGTGTAGTTGAAGCACTGGATTAAAGAAAGTATTCAGAGGAATTCAGTTAAAGTTGAAGGAACAAAAGAAAGTGTAGATCAAAGTCATTTGAAAAATTTTCCCCAGTTGTTCCTGTTTTTTTTTTAATAAACTTGGAAGCCGATGTTATTGTAAGCATCAAAAGCATTGCAAGTACAATTTTCATGAACACTGACATTTGCATGTTAGAACAGCTCAGGTTTTTCATGTCATTTACAGGTTAAGACCTTAAAGTCCCTGTGACGTTAAAGTTGACCTGTGATGCTATTCCTGGCATGGGTACTATAAAAGTACTAAATGCTCTTGTTAAACACAAACAGCATTTCAAACGATGAGGTCTGCATGTGCACAAGCATTACCTGCGGGCCCAAAGCATGAACTCGGACAGATTTCTTTCTACTCTTGGCTCTGTGTGATGAGAACAGGTATCCTTATATGGTCAAATGGCAAATGGCCTGTATTTATATAGCGCTTTACTAGTCCCTAAGGACCCCAAAGCACTTTACACATTCAGTCATCCACCCATTCACACACACATTCACACACTGGTGATGGCAGCTACATTGTAGCCACAGCCACCCTGGGGCGCACTGACAGAGGCGAGGCTGCCGGACACTGGCACCACCGGGCCCTCTGACCACCACCAGTAGGCAACAGGTGAAGTGTCTTGCCCAAGGACACAACGACCGAGACTGTCCAAGCCAGGGCTCGAACCGGCAACCTTCCGATTACAAGACAAACTGCCAACTCTTGAGCCACAGTAAATGCCACTTGCTGTTAAAATGGACAAAAAAGAAGTTGTAATGTTTGTTCAAAAGAAAATTGGCTGAAAAACTGGATGTCTGCACACACAAAAGTTCTCCACTGAAAATCAAAATCAAATCACTTTTATTGTCACATCACATGTGCAGGCACACTGGCACAGCACATGCGAGTGAAATTCTTGTGTGCGAGCCCCACAAGCAACAGAGATGTGCAAACACAACAACACAAATGAGCAAAATACAAGAATGGCCAACCTGAAACTAATAAATATATGTACAATATATAATAGTGTATGCATTTCTGGATGTGTATACGTATGTATACATATGTAAACATCCTGTATCAGTGAAAGCACAGAATCACAGTTAATGTCATTTACCTTTGTCACAGAATGATCTCGA